TATTTTATTATTTTTTCCCCCAAAGCCCCAGTAGATAGTTGTATGTCATAGCTGCACGTCCTTCTAGTTGCTGTATGTGGGACGTGGCCTCAGCATGGCCAGACAAGCGGTGCGTTGGTGCGCGCCGAGGATCCGAACCCAGGCCGCCAGTAGCGGAGCTCGAGAACTTAACCGCTAAGCCACGGGGCCGGCCCTACATTTTCACTTATCCATTTAGTTTTTTAATAATTTAACAAACATTTATTGAGTGTGAGCTGGGGAACTAACAGATACTGATCCTGCCTTCGAGAGATTTGTGTTCTGAGAGGGGAGTGACGCAGGGCCATGGATCTTTCACTGTGGTCACAACGGACTGGAGAGGAGCCCAGTGGAAGAAGGCAGAGCTTCCAAGGGGCCACGTGTAGTCAGGGAGCTATGATGGTGGCTTGAAGGAAGAGACCTAAAGAGAAATAGGTATATTCCAGGTATATTTTGGAGGTACAACTGACAGAGGTGTTGATTTGTTTGTGTTGTTTGTTTGTGGGTGGGATAAGGAAAAGGAAGAAGTAGTTGATGTCTTCAGAATTGTTTGACTAAATGGATGAGGCAGCCATTTACTAAGATGGCCGGACCTGAAGTAATATAAACGAGATGGAACTCGTGGCACTAAAACCTGCTGATCTACCTCAAAAGGAGTGTCTCATGTGGTTTCCCAGGTTCTCAGAGCATGATCTTTTTTTTTTGGGGTGAGGAATATTTGCTCTGAGCTAACATCTATTGCCAGTCTTCCTCTTGTTTTGCTTGAGGAAGATTAGCCCTGAGCTAACATCTGTGCCAGTCCTCCTCTATTTTGCATGTGGATCACCGCCACAGCATGGCTTGACGATTGGTGTAGGTCCACACCCGGATGTGAACCCGAGTACCTGGGCCACCCAAGTGGAGTATGCCAGACTTAACCACTACACCACGGGGCTGGCCCCCAGAGCATCAACTTTTATCTCAAGGAGCTAATAAATACCTTCACATAGAAAGCACTCGGTGCTGTTATTTGAATGTAATACATACACAACGCATTTACTGAGATTCCAGATCAAGAGGGAGCCACGCAGGCCAAGACTCTTCCCCTATGATTCATTGTGTCATGTCAGCTTACTGAGCGCATGCTATGTGTGTGACAGAGGCAGAAGTGTAACCATATGTCATTACACTGAACCCATGTGGTTTAATCCTCATAAAATTATGATAGATGAGGTAAATGCTTGTATTCCTAAATTGTAAGTGAAGAAATCCAAGAGCAGAAGCCTGAGCAAGGGCTTAATGTACGGATATGCTCATCAGCTTCATGGACTGTCCTCCGACTCGCAATGGCATTTAAAGAGTCTTATGTTGACCAGGAAAATCAAAGTGCTCTGGAATATAAGCTCTAATTGAGGAGTGCACCAATTTCTGGAAGAACTGAGGAAGAAGAGAGAAACTAGGCCTGGAGAAAGTTCCACAGGAGTGATATTTTAGCTGAACTTGGATTTCAGCAGGAGAAGGAGACAAAGCAGGGTGAGGTGAGGTGAGGAAGGATCCAGGCCGATGGAGTAGAGCTGAAAAGGCCTGGAGCATGGGAGAGGTTTAAGCCTCCCATGGCTGTGCACTGGGCGATGGGTGGTGGTGGTGTCTGGAGAAGGCAGCATTACCTGGTGGCTACTAAACAACTGGTATTTAGAAAGTGCATTTTTACCTTCCACAGGGAAGTGCTATTGCTGCACCAACACAAAAGCAAAAGTGGCACTAGGTGTCAAATACATAAACCTGGTTGTTCTGCAAGGTTTAGATACATTCACGAATGACGCCTCCTTAACCGGTTCCTTCAGCCTTACCCCGTTCATTCTAAACCTCTCCTGCACCTCGTTTGCAGATCTCTCTTCGCAGGAGTGGGATTTGCCTGCAGCCTGGCACAGTCTGCCCGGCTGAGTTTGCCACCTGCTCTCACCATCTTGGACGGTAACAGAGCTCTGTGATTTTACACTTGGGCTGGGGCTCCCTGACGTGGCCCCACTGTCTCCCACATTACCACCACTTGAAGCCAGTGTCTTTTAGCCTGTGGTCACCCTCTAACTGGCCCTGACCCCAAGGACATTGGGGCTAGTTGGAGAGGCCTCCTGAGGGAGTTGCAAGGGCACAGACCTGACTTCCTCTGCAAGCAGCCCTGGGATCAAGAAGGGAAGGACTTCCTGAGAGGTGACAGCTCCAGAGCAAGAGTGTGTGGGGGCAGGGAGAGGATGGTGATGCAGGTGGTGCGAGCTGGTTGTAGCAGAGAAATGACATGGGCCTTAGGCTCAAATCTGGGTTTGAGGCTAGATTTGCCCCTTGTGAGTGTGAGAATGTGGCCGTATCATTTAGGCTGTCTGCTCTTGGGTTTCTTCACTTAAAATTTAGCAATAAAAGCACACATATCATAATTTTATGAAGATTAAGCCAATTGGATTTAATGTACATTGACATGACGCAATGAATCATAGGGGAAGGGTCTTGGCCTGCGTGGCTTCCTCTTGATCTGGAATCTCAATAAATGCATTGCATATGTATTGCATTCAAATGACAGCACTGAGGGCCTTCTAGCTTCATGAGATAAAAGACAATGCTCTGGGAAACCAAGAGAGGATGTGAGACAGTCCTTTTGTAGCAGAACAGCAGGCCTGAGTGCTCTGAGTGCCATCTCATTTATGTTACTTCAGAGCCGGCTTACTTTCAATTACCCACACAAACTGCAGGGGATTGAGCCATTGGTAATTGTAGCACCTCTTTCCCAATATGCAGACAATAGTGTTTTGATACCTTCTGTTTAGCTTTGGAATGCTTTATAGGATAGAATGTGGCAGATTTATTTCGCACTTATTAAACTGACATGACTTATTGTGCTAGACTCCGAGGACTCAAAGATGAGTAAGACACTGACAGAAATGCAAAGAAAAGGTGATAAATTCCACGACAGAGGTACCAACTGACCTAGTTCTGGTTTAGAGGGAAGGAAACTCTTGTGGAGCAGGTAGTATGTCAGTCAGCAGGGGCTGGGTTTGCCGCAGTGCTGAACAATCCTCAGTTCTCAGTGCCTTAACACCCCAAAAGCTGACTTCTCATTCATGCTGCGTATCCAGTGCATGTCAGCAGGGGTCTCTGCTCACTGCAGCCACAGGGTCACGAGGTGACGATGGATGTTTTATCTCAACATGTGCTTCCAGGATCACGTTGGCAGGGGAAGAAGGTGTGCGAATTGTGCGTGGCCTCCTCACGCTCCTACCTGGAAGTGGTGTGTAGCCCCTCAGTTGACATTTCCTTGCCCACAGCGAGCCATATGGCCACAGCTAACTTCAAAGAGGAGGGGGCAATCCTCGCCTGTGCCCAGAAGGCAGAGAGCTAGAAACACTCAGTGAACAACACCAATGACTACTGTGGGTGACTTTGTTTCAATACGCAGAGATGAGTGTGAGGGAGGAGGGCTTCCCAGTGCATGAGAAGCTTTAGGAAAGGGGCAAAGGTTGGAAAGTCTGGCTGCAGAGAAGGGGTCCAGATAGGAACACTGGGAGGCTAGTTTGCAAAGAAAGACAGGCCACATTGTGAAAGCCATGCTAAGGAGGTCAGACTTCTTCCAGGAGACACTGAAGGTTTTAAAGAAGCTGTGGTTTAGGAAGATTAACCTGATTGCTGTGTATAGGAGAGAAAAGAGGGTGGCAAATTGGAGGCAGGAGATCCATTTGCTTCTTACACAAATCCAGGCAAAGGGTGGTGAGGACCAGAATAGGGGTCTTCAAACGGGGAGGAGAGAAAGGGCTGTACATATCAGCTATTTGAGACAAGGACTTGGCCAGATTTGGAACTAATTAGATATGAGATGTATGGGGGTGGAGAGTCAGGAGTGATTCTGAGGTTTTGAGCCCGGGAGAATGAGACTATTGTAATCAGAGAAAACAGCGGAAGGTGTGCAAGTCTGGGAAGGAACTTTAGGGCTTGTTGACTGCAAAGCAGAGATTTTTATTTTGTTTACTCTTGCTTACCAGCACCTAGAACAGTGCTTAGCATATAATATGTGCTCAATCATATTTGTTGACTATGTAATACCAGTGGAACACAAATAGAGAAGTTCCAGGCAATTGTTAACGTGAAATTGGCACTCCTTCATGATGTCAATGCTAGGGAGGCAGATTTACCTATTGAAAGATTTACCTATTTACCTCATCAGCCATAAGATGAGATGAGTTGCCAAGAAAGTGTAGAGAAAAAAGGGAGAAGGCTGAAGAGGGAACTTTGGGAACCATGACATCTAGGGGCCAGAAAGTAGGACCAGAATCCAGGGAAGTCGGGCACTGGAGGGCAGGATCAATCAGTATCAGATGCTGCTAACCGGTCAAGGATGCTGGGAACGCTGGGAACAGTAAGAGGGCATTTGGTTGAACAGCTTAGGTCTCCGGTGACTCACCCAGGGAGAGCTGGCCGCAGGCCGCAGCAGGGACCTCCTAACAGTGAAGAAGAGGAAGCTCCTGGCCGCGAGGGAGAGGAGGGCAGTGGCTGGAGGGGGAGGCTGGGCCAAGGGGCAGTTCTGGTTTCTGTTTGGGTTTGGAGGGGTTATAACTGAGACCTAGTCATGTAGCAAGAAGGAGAGAGACTGAAAATTCAAGAGGGAGGGAGAGAAACCATGGTTGGCATCATGAAGGCAGATGGAAGGGCTGTGTTCCAGCGCAAAGGGCCACTTCTAGGAAGAGACAAGAGCAGGTGCATAACTTTCGTTGTTGTTGTTGGTACTTAACCCAGGGCCTATGACGTCCAGGGCACGGTTAATGCCAATGGCCACCACCAGTCAAGTCTCCGCATCTTCCTTTCTCATCACCTTCAGGCCCCTGGCCGTCTTTTCCCCTTTCACCAGAGGGCCGGAGGTTCTCCGGGGGCCGGCGGGAGGCGGGAAGGACCCGGGAGGGGCGCGGCCGCGCGGCGGGGCGGGCCCGGGAGGCCACACCCTGAAACTACCTGCGCCGGGCAGGAAGCGCGAGGGAGGACCGCGCGGCCGGCGCCCGGGTCTGCGCTGGACCTCAGCACGCCCCGGCACCGGCCCCGGCCCCGGCGGCGATGGGAGCCCGCCGCCCGCGGGGACGACGCCTCTGAGACCCCCGACCGGCCGCCGGGACCATGAAGAGCAACCGGGCCCGCCAGGGCGGAGGGGGCGCCAAGGACTTCGGCGTGGGACTCAAGTACAGCTCGCGGCCTGAGGTGGGCGAGCGCGAGGGGCCGGCCCGGGCACCCCCTCTACGTGCGGCCGGGCCCGGCGAGCGCGGGGGCGCGGGCTGCGCGGCGGGTCGGGGCTCGGGAGCCCCCGGGCCTGCAGCGCCGCACTTGGTCTTGGCAGAGGGAGCCGCTCCGTTGCCCATTTGTGGCCGGGCCCTGGCCCTACAGGTGGAATTTCCTGTTTGGCGGGTGCCTGGCCGGACTTTGGTACCAGCCCTGCTGCGCGCCAGCACGATGGAGGCGGGAGCCCTCGGGTCCTTGGAGACGCCGAATCGCTCCTCCGGCCTCCTGCCCCCCTGTCCTCTCCCTGACCTGAAAACAGGGCTCCGTGTCAGTCCCTCCACGAACTCCGCGCTGTTAGTGCACATCTGGAAGGAACCAGCGCGAAGGCTCGGAGAGGGGCTGGGAAGGGATTTGGGCTGGGAAGGGATATTTCCCAGGCCTGTGGAGTCGTAGCCATTCTGGGCCTCTGCAGGAATTTCTTTTCTTCTTCTGGTCAGAAGGCGTTTTGGGCCCTTTGCAGAGGGCGTTCAGGGGTCCAGGGCTTTCGTCGCGGGGGTCCAGGGCTTTCATGCCGTGGAGCCTGGAGCTGAGGTCCAGGGCTGGGCTTGCCTGGGCGTCTCCAAGAGGGGATGGAGCTCTTTAGGAAGGTGACTTGATTGGAAGGGATGTGGGAACATGTGTCTTGAGCCTTTTAGAAGATACTGAAGCTGGAAGCTCTTGTTAGGCAGAAAGAACAATGAGAGACCTCTTGAAAGATCTCAAAGATGTTAAATCTTAAGGTAGAGAGTTGGGGAGGGGTTGTTAGTTACTTTCTTGAAGGACACACCTAGGTGGCAGGGCCCAGGCAGGACTAGCAGCCAGGCTTCCATCTCTCTGTCCAGCGAGGACCCCAGGTTTTCCGGAAGGCCAGTGCCCACCAGGTCAGGGCCGGCACCGCGCAGGCGCTGAGAGGCAGGGCTGTTTTGTGAGGGAGCTTTACCGCTCTGCAAATGAAGGGCTGCCCTGCGCTCTCACTTTCCCCCGTGTTCCTGGGTCCAGTAACCTCCTCTGCTGCCCTACACTGTGGCTGTGGCTCCCATGTCAGGCCAGATTTTGGAGCTCTCTGAAATCAGCTCCTTTTCTTCCAGTAGCATCCTGACTTAGGGAGCTTGCAGAAGACCAGATTCTGGGGCTGCGGTGGTTAGCCAACCGCAAATAGGAACTGAGCCCAGCCACCCTTGATTTCTCCACTCTCCACTCCCTGGGAGGAAGGAAGTGTGGACCGCCTAGCCAGCCTGGAGGCTTGGGCCTGTGTTCCCGCTGAGTCTCTGCCCTGCTTGGGGCAGATCCACCTGGAAGGACAACCTTCTCTTTTCCTTTCTGTGATTGTCATGGTTGTGAACACTTGATAATTGCCTATTGGGGCTCTAGACTCCTGCCTCCTCAGCAGAGGGCCTGCTGTTGGGTCTTTGTTATTTCAGGTCTATTTTTCTTCCCAGCTGACTTCCCTTTCTGGGACTGTCTTCTGCTGACACTGGGAGAGCTGGGCCTTCCTGCAGTCTCCTCTGCGCCATCTCACTGCCCACACTCCCTCCCCAGACCTGGGGCTCACCTGCACACTCTGAGCCCCACGGCCAGCTGACTTCTCTTGTCCCCTGCAAGCCCTTGCTTTCTTGGTCCCTGCTCATTTTCTGTGAAGCTCATCCATCCTCCACTCCATTGGGCTCTTGCTTCCACTTCTGATTCTGTGACTTGCTTTCATATGGATCACTCTTTGTCTTTTCTGCCGAGCTCTGTTGAACCAGCTCCATATCTAGTCCTGGCCCAGGCACTGTTGGAGGGTGGGCTCTCCAAAACAAATAAGAGTTTGCCTTAAGGAACTGACGGTCTTGAGAGCCATGCTAAGATAGATGTGACACAGTGTCCTGAAGGAAGTAGCCTACGATGCCCAAGCTCATTTCCATTTCTCCAGGAATTTTTCAAATATTCCTCCCACTCGACGCCTTATCAGAGCTCTCACTCCCTGGATCACCCTGCGGTGTTTGCAGTCAGGGTCTGCAGACTTGGCCCTGACTCCTTCTCTGACCAGGAGGTGCATGCTGCCCCTGGGTTTGCCTTCTTTGTCAGCAGAGCTTTGCTAGGTCAAGGCAGGCCCCATAGGGCCACTGTTGCTTTTGAGTTCCTTGTTCCCAGCTACTTCCATCTCTGCATGGATGGAGAAAGATTCTGTTGAGTGGTATTTGTATCTGGCTATGTCCTTCCTAAGGCTGACGACTCTGTCCCCTGCCCCACCCCCACCTGTTGCCATCACTCAGGAAGTGGCTGCCTCTGTGTTCCCCTCTGGGGAACTGCACACTCTGGGGCCCTGGGGCCCTGATGCACACACTGTGTCTGGGGATTGTGTGAGCCCTGCCTGCATGAGAGCAGGTATGCAGATGCCAATTATTATGGCTGTTAATGAGAACTGGGAAGCCTGCCTCACCCAGTGTCTTGGCCCCTGTTGAATATTTGGTGGTGGCCATGAAGCTGCTTTGACATCCATTGTTTCCTTCTCAAGTCAAGATTGCCCCAAGTAAGACTCAGTATCCCCTAGGCATGCAGAGACCAGGATTGGAGAATCAGATGTTGTGGGGTCAAAATCAGATGTTGTGGGAGCTAGGCTGTACAGCTCTGGCTATTCAGAGAGTCATCTCTTTGTTAATTGATTGAACATTCACTCATTCATGTAACAAATATTTATTAGGTCCCCACCGACTGAGCATGTGCCAGGTACGGGGCAGTAACACTGAGAAAGACCCCAGTGACACAGTTGCTGCCTTCAGGGAACATCCAGTGTAGTGTGGGAGACTGGGAGTTAAGTTCTGTGTGATAGTACTAGATTCAGGATGAGCCCAGGGGGGCTCACCCGGGCTTGAAGGGCAGGGTAGGTGAATTGGGGCTGGCGGTAACACTCCATGTGGGAGTGTCCCACATGGAGCCGAGATCTGGTGCCGCCGCTTTCCTGCCAGGTCATCTCAGCTGTTACCTACTCTCTAAGCCTCAGTTGCTGTGGCTATAAGATGGGGATGACATCTACATTACAGGTTTGTGGCAAGGATTGAAAGGGGTTCTTTATGTGAAAGCCCTTTGTAAGTTGCAGCATGGTGTACAAAGCATGAGTTTGAATTTCTGAGTGGAGAAAGGTCTCGAGACAAGCTGTCAGGGGATGTGGTGTTAGTAGGATGCGTGTGGAGGGGCCAGGAACTGGGTTGTTGGTGGGCGCTGGCCTGGTGGAAGGAGCTGGCCTGCCCCGCTGAGCACAGGGCAGCTGTCCGAAGAGTACTGGGAAACAAGACCCTCTCCCTGTGGTCTTCTGGTTTTCATTTCCTTCTGTTTACGCAGCTTCTCTCTATGAGAAAGATCCTTCTACGAGAAGGAGGTGTGTGCCCAGACCACTGTAACCGGCTGCTCACCCCTTTCTCCCTCTCATTCGCCCCTCCCCCTCCCACCATAGAAAACAAACTTTAAAAAACTTCCTCTTTCTTGGTTCTCTTGAGCATATGCTAGGCTCTCTGGAAGGGCCATGTGCTGGGAAGTTGTGTGCAGGGAAGTTGTATGCTGGGAAGGTGTGTGCTGGGAAGGTGTGTGCATGGAAGGTGTGTGCTGGGAAGTTGTGTGCAGGGAAGTTGTATGCTGGGAAGGTGTGTGCTGGGAGGGTGTGTGCAGGGAGGGTGTGCGCAGGGAGGGTGTGCGCTGGCAGGGTGTGCGCTGGGAGGGTGTGTGCAGGGAAGGTGTGTGCAGGGAAGGTGTGTGCTGGGAAGGTGTGTGCAGGGAGGGTGTGTGCAGGGAGGGTGTATGCTGGGAGGATGTGCAGGGAGGGTGTGTGCAGGGAGGGTGTGTGCTGGGCGGGTGTGCGCAGGGAGGGTGTGTGCAGGGAGGATGTGCAGGGAGAGTGTGTGCAGGGAGGGTGTGCGCTGGGAGGGTGTGGTCAGGGAGGGTGTGTAGAGGGAGGGTGTATGCTGGGAGGATGTGCAGGGAGAGTGTGTGCAGGGAGGGTGTGTGCAGGGAGGGTGTGTAGAGGGAGGGTGTGCGCTGGGAGGGTGTGTGCTGGGCGGGTGTGTGCTGGGCGGGTGTGTGCAGGGAGGATGTGCAGGGAGGGTGTGCGCTGGGAGGGTGTGGTTAGGGAGGGTGTGTAGAAGGAGGGTGTGTGCAGGGAGGGTGTGCAGGGAGGGTGTGTGCAGGGAGGGTGTGGTCAGGGAGGGTGTGTGCAGGGAGGGTGTGCAGGGAGAGTGTGTGCAGGGAGGGTGTGTGCA